CAGAACGCCTAAGGAAATTTAAAATAGGAATAAATTGCATACAAACCACAATCAAAATGTAATGATGTGTTTCAAAAAGGTTTAATAAAACCATCATATTGCATTGTGTATCGTTTATCGATAAATTGATTCCAATTAAACATGCTAAAAGGCATCAATTTCCGTACAACAACTTTTACAAAGCCACCAATTGATTTTTGACTCGATGAGAATCTTATTTGGAACTCAATTCCCAAAGGTTAAACGTCCAAAAAAATTCCTTTTTTATTAATAATAAGAGGAAAATTTGATTGCGGATTAAAGATATATAATTAAAAATGATAAATAGATGCTTGGATATCCGCAATATTGACAGAAGTCACACGATATTGTCTGAATTTACCGTTTTACTCTGTAATAAAGATAGATTAATAACGCAAAACTTTGACGTGGGCATCATTTATGAGCCTCTGTTTTTATACATCTTCAGAATGCTAAATTTACAAGACAAATGAAATTATAACACTAATGAAATTCGATAATTTTTAAGCATTTGTTTTTGTAGTTTTTGCTTAAATAAAATATAATTTTGTTTGTTTTTTTTAAGTCAGAAACCTTACTTTTAGCGGATCTCATTACTAGAAAACAGAGTTTACGAATCCCTGAAGATCGTGGCTCCACGGTTCTTTCGATTGATACGTTCTAGAAGAGATAGATTACATTAAAAAAATTTTTGTATTTATCTTGTAGTTATAAAACGTATAAGAGGGCTTAATTGTAAGGGTTCCAATAGTGAAAACACTATTCGATTAGATGACGATTTTTGAATGAATAGCTTCAATATGGAGCTCAATGTGGAAGCTTCAATACGAAGTTCAATCAGCTCAAAATTTGATTGAAGCTCCAAATTGCGTTAAAATTAATATCTATCATTTCTTAGTTAGCAACTCTCTTTTAGAGATTTTCATTGGTTACAAAGAAGGTTCATACTCCTGAAGATATCGATCCATTCATTGAAAGTCACCAGAGTTAGACTTGTTAAGGCCCTAAGTGATAACATATAATAGGGCTTTTTTCTCTCCATCAAATAACGACACGTAAAAGTATGAGAGCCTAAGCTACAGCTAATTTAACTTATGCTTAAAATTATATTTAAACAGAATTGTTTTAATCTTGTTTTAGTTAAATATACTCTTTTAAGATGTCTCATTAATAAATGATGGAGTCATGTCCATTTTAAACTTCTCTTAGAAGGCCACATCAACAATAACCGGGTTTACTATAGCAATGAATGCAATCTATCAAAGATGAGATACTCCAAATTAAAGTTACATAAGTTTCGTTTTACAGAGTACAAAATTACGTTCAAGAGAGGTTTTTTTAATATAAAAAAAACCTCTCTTAGAAGGCCACATCAGCAAAAAGCTACCGTATATACTAACGATGGCAATCCACCAAAGATGAGATGCTCTAAATTAAAGTTAGGCCGTTCCGACTTTATATATTCCAAAATGACGTTAAACCCGAGTTCTTCGACCCTTTTTTTAGGTAAAAAGTCTCTCTATAAGGTACCACTACCAAAAAAAAAATCGGGTTTACTACTTCACCAAGGTCGCGAACTAACATTTTACAAGCTCCAAATTAAAATTACGCGCATCTTTCGCTCTGTGGACTTCAAAATTACGTAGCCACCGTCTTTTAATTATGTATTAAATATTAACGTTAAATTTATGTATTAAGAAAAAAGACAGGAAATTTTTCTTTGTATTAAGAATGTGTCCTTCAAAGTTTGATGTTAGAAAAAGAAATTTGCTCTAGGACCCGTTTATAAATGTCGACAGATGTTATCGCTTTATATAGGCCATGTATAAGCGATGTTTTTGACGTTTCATAATTAAATCTACGATAATAGGTGATGCTATTACCTATAGTAACAAAATAGATAAGATAAACAACAAAAAAAACTTCTATTACTAAGTCGACCGGAGAAGGGGAAATTTATTCAGTAATTTTTCGATTTAAAAATAAATAAAAGTCCTATTTTATTATTTTTTATTTGAATTATACAGTAAAAACCTGTCTAAAACGGGGAAAAATCCTTCGAAACGAAGCTATTTTCTATTCTAAACGAAACCTGTTCAAAATTTCGAGAGAATTTTACGTAACGTTTTTGAATACTTGTAATAAATCCCGCTTATAACATTAATATCGGCACTATAAAAGAGGTTACAGATATGGATATTCAATTATTGACGTCATAATTGACGTCACTATTAGATATTCATATCTAAAACCGTTATAATCAAAGCTCAAATAATACAGGCTCAAAACTCGCGTCATAATTGCTCAATTTTGACGTCAATAAGATTAAGCTCAAAATTGACGTCAAAATTGAGTAATACATTAAAAATTTCTTTTTAAGTAATTAAAAATTAACAATGTAAAGCTATTATATAAAATTTTAGGAAAAATTGTACCTAATTTCTATTCTGCAAAATACTACAATTTTAGTGCACTATTTTCTACTGATGCGATATTTTTTTTATTAATAAAAATTATTAAATTTTTAAATATTTTATCATTAATTTAATAATTTAATTACTAAATTTCACTTTTCTAAAGTAAATTTCATTAGTTTGAGAGTGGCGGAAACAAAACAACATTAACTTTTATATCGTTAAAGGAAAAATGCGTGTTAATAGGCTTCTCTTTGTCGGTTTTCTTAACTCGTGCTGCTACTTCGTTCTAATTAACAAGAAAAATGATAAAATTCGCTAAAATCTGCGTTAAATTTTACCTTTTTAACTGAGAAAATCTTAATGTTCGCTAGAATACACTATTAAGTTTGCTTTACTTAGCATAGAAAATGCTGAAATCAACTAAAATTTGCAAACACAGATCTATCAATTTAGCGCATAGAAGGTTAAAATCTGCTAAAATCTATTTGCAAAATCTACTAATTTACAGCAAAACAAAGCTAAAATCTGTATGTAAACTTAATCACACAAGTAATTAAAAAAACAAAACAAAATTCACTTAAATATAAACGGAATAAATTCATACTAAATTATCTTATCTTACTAAAACATTCACCATAATACTACACTTTTCCAATAAAGTATTATAATTACGTTTTAAAAATGAAAAATAATTAAATCAGAATTTTAAAAATATAATTAGGATTTAAAACATTCGAAGGAGAGAGAGAGAGAGAGAAAGAAAAAAAAACCAGGAAAAAAAATCACATAAATTCCTAAAAGCCAATGAACTGTGCTAATGAAGAAAAAAAAAACATGGCGCTAGATCATGAAGCGTAGGAGAGAGACATTTAGAAAAGCTAAGTTTGTCCCCCGATATCGATTACAACTCGTGCATGTTTCGGAATTTTGTTCGAAAAATTCCAATATTTAGCGGTTTTACAGAAACTGCTTTAGACATTTTAGATTAAATGTTAGTTCATGTTTCTTATTATCCATAATCAGCCATTAATACTGAAGCAGAATAAGGGGGAAGAAACAATAAACAAGATACTAATTTAAGCTGTATTTTATTGAAATTAAAGCCAATATTAAATTTTAAAAACAAACGAAAAAAAACAATGCAAATAATCGATATTTCCTTTCAGAAATTCTGTAAACTGTAAGAAAAAATAAGAAAGAAATTAGAAAAATATAAATAATGAAAGCAACATCATTAAAGTAAATGGTGCCATTTTCGTTTTAAAAATTCTAATTTTTCGTTTATTTTTATGTTGAAAAAAATAATAAAATAATCGTTTTAAATCTGTCTTCTACATTCATTTCTGTTAATAATCTCGAAATTAACTTAACTTTATAAATTTTATTGGATTAACTTAGCGCTGTGACGTCATATATGAGCTTTTTTTTTTTTAAAAAAAATTCAGCGATTGAAAAGTATTAAAAGAGGAAACGATAAAAATAGTTAGAAATTCGTAAATTTTTATTCATCGCGTGTTGTATAACATAATCTGTTAAACTATTTCATCGTTATTCTACACATTTCATCAAATTACATTTAATAGAATCGCTAATAATGCTACTGAATAAAGGGAAAAATGAATAGACAGTTAGATAAAAACGATACAATTTTCGGTGATTTAAAAAGCAATAATAATAATAAAATTGCCCTTTTCTTCAATTTGTTCGTCCGTCTGTTTGTCTTCCTGTAAATTCTCTGGGAAACTAAGCGCTCGTTTTTATTCGCCTGTTGTCTATTCGTAAAATTTCCCAGAAATTATGAATTGGATGTGTAAATTTTAGGAATCTTTTCACATTTAATATTTTTAATTGTAAATTTCTCAGAAATTGAAGTAGAAGTTTGAAAATTTGTGTTTATTTTTCTAAGTTTGGCTGAGTGTATGTACGCAGAATTTTTTCGAAAAATTAAAAAATATATATATAACTACATTAATGATTATATAACAAACAATCACTTTAAAGTATAAAATTTAATATATAAATATTAAAAATGTTCCTACACAATCTAAATTTATATTTATTTATTTTGTTTTCGTTGCTCCTAACAAAATATTGAGTTACATAATCTCCTTCAAAGAAATTTAAAACTGTTTTATTAATTTCGAACGTAACACTGCGCCAATATATAAACAGATTTATAGGTTTTTACTCTTTCACAGGTTTCACTCCTGCACAGCTTTACGTGTTTTACTGTTTCCGCACCGTAAGGGTTCTAACAGTGCTTTTTTAATTACCCATCGTGGATTTTTGAGACAGGGTTTTAAGGGATTGAACCCATATCTAGAACAGACCCTTCCTCATAAAAAACTGCCAAGATTCATTATCTAGATTCAACCCGAATCCACAGAGAAGTAGGGTCATATAAAAGTTACTCCTAAACAAGAATAATCAGCAAGGTCTTTTCTAACTTGTTTACCTCATTAAATCTTAGATTAGGGAACTAATTTTATGCATTTTATTCTTATTTTTCACATGCATAAGCACGAATACAATATTATAATGCGTGCAAATTATTATTTTCAGGCAGCACCGAATCAGAAAACGTGTGGGACCAGCGAAGATTGCGACGAAGACGAATGCTGCGTTGGTAAAAATCCATTTCGTGCAGGAAGCTGTGAGCCTTTAGCGGGTTTAAGTAAGTCAATTTCGTTTAAGTAAATCAATTATTATTCAAAAATATTAATGAGGAAGAATTTGACTTTTTAAAAATTAAAACTAATTAAAACTTATTGATGGCAATCATTATCATATAACCATTATCATAAACTGCCAGAATATATTTTAATTAGCAAAGCGCCCAACTTAATTCTTGAATTTTTAGTAAAAATATCAATAATAATAATAATTTAAAAATATATTTATATTTATATTATTATTATTATTAAATTTAAACGTTTTATGAATAACTTAATTCAAAACACTGATTAATTCCGTGAATATTTGTTAACAAGCGAAGACAAAAATGTATCCTTATGAGATCTCGTTTCTCTAGCTTTAATAAGGTAATTATAATTTTTAATTAAATTTAATAGAGGCGAAATTTACGTCATGTTACAGATTTTTTTTTCTTGAATTTTATTCGGTAATTTTCAAACTAGAATTGGCTCGATGTCAAATATTTGGCCTTCTTTCAACAAACAACGGAGAAGAAGAATAGAAATCTTCCTGTTTAAATAAAAACAATCATTTTGTATCTGTAAAAAAAATATAGGTAGAAAAAATAGTTTTTAATGCGATTTATTTAAATATATATATATATATATTCCAGATGAATTCTGTGTTCCCGAATTAATGATGGAATTGTTAGGTAAAGACTATAACCATGGAAGTTGTCCTTGCTCAAAGGGGTTGAAATGCGAGCCAGAACAAGTTATAACTGAAGAGGGTGTAAGTAATTAAAACTGATTTAAATATCGATTTAAGAAAAAAATAAATAATACATTTAATTACTTTTTTTTCTATTTTTATAGGAAATACATTTCAAAAATCCTAAATGTAAGCAAACCAGCTCGGATTAAATTTAACTTCTTCTATTAAAAGAAAAATAAATGTACACTGATTATATCAGATTACTGTGACTTTACATGTTCAGTTTCGTCTTTGATAAGCACACGAAAGACGAATCTGAATTGCCTAGTATTAGGATTGACCTTTATACAAAAAAAGAATGACTTAACCAGGGAAGAGGATCAGGGATCAGAATGCCATTATAAATAAATTAAGAAAAAAAATCAAATAAGTACGAGAAAATGATTTGAATGTACACTAATGCACGTGTATAAACAATATCTAAGAGTTTACTCTTCATCTACACTGGTGTAAGAGTAAATGTCGATTTGCACGTTCTAATTCGGGCCCCTGTAATATTGGTTCTAGCTACTACACTGATAAGAAACGACGAAATTTGATCAAAATATTTCTTATTTATTTGTACAAATAATAATAAAAAAAACACAAGAAGGAAATTTTATAAAACAAATAGAATGTAAACAATTATAGAAAATATATGGCAAGTAAACATTCAACTTACATTGGAAATTATTATAATTAGGGCTTGGGAGGCCAATAAAAAAATAAGGCCTTCTTTTTCAATTTTTGTACATAAAAGATAAATTTTCAGGTTTTTTTATACAGAAGGCCAACAAGGACGTTTAGCCTTTCGGGCCTTCTCTACTTAGAATTATCTGTAATAATATTTTAAGGTCTACTAATTATAAAAACACAATTTTTACTCTTTAATATGCGATAATATTCGTTATTTCGTTATAGGAATAATATATACAGTATTTTTAATGAAATTTCAAACGAAAAAGATGCCCACCAAGCACATGATGAATAATTTTCTTTTTACTTTTTCATGCAAATTACACTGCGATTAGTCCATACGTTAATTACATCTAACCGAATTTTAGTTACAATTAATTTACTTTCATTTTAGTTTATGTACTCAAGAAATAATTACATGGTCAGAATTTATTTATAAAAATCCATATGAAAAATAATTAAATTTTACATGACGCAGAATCAGATTTTTTTTTTCCACTACCCGACAATTATCTTCTGTTAAACAAACTATGGCATCTTATACGAAATCTGATATGCCGTGTTAATATTTATAGCAATTTAAGTAATGCATTCGCATAGGAACTTAATAAAATTTACATATCCTTAATTTCCATTTCTTCGAGTGAAGAGCCAGAAAATTCTGTAACAAATTCTAAACTCTGTTGAATTTCTATACGAAATTTCCAACTAGATGAACACCCGCTGAAAAAATATCAGTTCCAGCTCATAAAACAAAGAAGAAGCGATTTTTTTTCCATTGTAACCTATGCGTTATCTTGCCCCATTTCCCTAACACTTAAAGAATTCAAACAATGTATGGTAATGGCCTAGAGAATTCTGTCTTTTCTATAAAACACACAAACAAGAAATTTATATATACATTTTCCCCATCAATCGATCGAGTTCATGAATTTAAAATGGCGGTGATGATCTTTCCTTAAAACTATCAGAAAGGCACGTAACTCGTTACTCTTCTTCAGCAAGGTTATATGAAGTTAAAGTAAATCCAAGCCAAATTGTCTAAGTATCGATATTGAGAACAAAAGAGTCGATCGAGTTTAGCAAAGCTTAAACTACCTGTCATCGAAAGAAAAGTTTTGTTCAAGGAATATGATGGATTATTCCACCAATCACTCGCTAGAAGAGAAGGAGGGTTGAAAATATCGATGCGAACTCTAGTAAACATTTTGGTAAGAGTAACCACCCTTCAAAAAGCGATGGAGGAAAATTTATACCCGAGAAGATAAGTAGATATAAGAAATAAAAAAAATAAAATAAAATAAAATTTCCCTCCCCACCCTTCCAAATTCTGAATAACATTTACAAATAATACAATGAATTACAAAAAAAAAAGAAATACTGTATATATTTAGCATAAAAGATGATACACTATCGCATTAGATATTTTCTTCCCCCCTACACAAACTTATGTAGCAATTATTTGCAGCTGTTGGGTATCTGTTAAGGGGAAGAAAATTCAAACAATAGTGCTCTGTCTGTAAACACTTATGGAGTGTGCAGCCGCCATTACTGCCAATGGAATATTGATCTATCTTTGGTCTCCTTAAGTATCTCTCGCTAACATTTCCTGGGTAATAAAAAGCTATCTCGTATTAATCGAGAACCAGACAGAAACAAAGCATTCAATTATAACAGAAAAAAAACGGTTTAAAAATTGCTAAATTCTTAATTTTGAACTCGAATTTTCTCCATTTCGTGCCGAAATTTCGTAATTAAAAGTATATTATCTAGAGTAAACTCATCAGCAAGATTATATTTATCTTTGCAAACTCGACATAATTGCCATTTTTACATCAGAAAATGATTAAAATACACTAAATTTTATATATTTTTCGAGAAAAAAAAATAAAAAGAAAAACACGTAGTAAGTCAACAGTTTTAAATTCAAAAACTGGAATTTTATTACTCTTCCTATATACAAGCGGCGTTAAATTCGCAGAAGAAATTACAAAAATTGAGTAAAAATTAAATAAATTACACACGATTTCAAAGCTCTAATGACGTTTCTTAATCAATAACAATAAATGAAACTTTCAACTTTTTCAAAGCCGAAAGTTAACTGATTAGAAGCGTTAGATTTCATCTAACGCTTCCTTATCGAAGATGTCGAGCTGTAAAAGGAGCATTAGAAAACAGAAAAAGTTATATACATATATTTTTTTTATCTGTCGATTATTAATTCTGTGTGTGTGTTTGTATGTCTGTGTGTGTTCTGTAGTATCATTAACACGACATTCCTCTGCATACGCTTACATAACATTAAGACCTTAGCAAACAACACAATTACAAAACACGATTTATCTATTTGTATTAAGTCAAGTTAGATTGATGAAGTAAAAATATAACAATTTGTTACTCTCGTATTTTTCAACACCAGGTGTAACCTACAGACGCCTTCGATTACTTCTAACGGGTTGCTATGGTAACCTAAACACCGCTACCGGATCGAAACCGAGCTCCCCGAGTGCCCCCAACGGGACATGGCTTTAGGTAACTCACTGGTCTAGTAGCGTTATCAGTTCCCGTCTATAGCGAAAACGCCAGTCCGAAAATGTCATTGCATCTACACAAAATGCATTAAAAGACTGCACGCATGCTCTATACATCGTCGCATTCCTCTTCCTCTCCCCCCTTTTTTTCCGTCGTTATCAATCTGCCTCGCAATAAAAAAAATAAAAAAATACAAGCCGCCATCTTTACGAAAATCGTGCCACTTCCGTGCATCCCCAATTTAAAAATATGCTAAATATTGAAAAGCTGGCACAATGTAAATTTTCGTATTCTATCTTGTCATCACTTTACCATAAAAAAAAACTTGTGTTGGATTCACTTCCAAACATTTTTTTATTTTTTTATTTTGTTGGTGATAGCGTTTTCATATAAGGATGTTCACAGAAAATCCGAAATATATATATATATATATATTACTACTAATGCCCTTTAGAAATATTCCATAAAATACAAAACATTATCCATGATTTTCTTCGAGGTATTGTTTTAACAAAGGAGTCATTTCAAACATCAATAAAACGCTATTTATATAAATATTACTTTCGCTATTCTTCGATTCTCGATACTTGAATATTATATTATTATCTAACAATCTGGGATGCGCGATCCACTTGTTTGGAATGGATCGTGGTTTACTATTTAGAAAATATATTCGTGGATTGAGATCTGTCAGTTGAGAAACGTTTCTAGATCGTGTTGCAATAGTTGGAAGACATTTCTAGATCGTGACCCGACATTTCAAAAAGTGTCCGTGGATTTAACGATTGAGAGAATATTTCCGAATCATAATCCATCAGTTGGGAATCAAAGGATCTTGTAAATAAGAGAAACCTTCAAAGAATCTTCAGCTGAATATTTCTGAATCGTAACTGATTGACACTCTTTGTCATTTTATAATCCATCAGCTGAGAAACATTTTTAACTCGGGATCAAATAATTAATAATATTAAGCATTTCCATAGTCTAAAAGAATAATACATGAGGTTCTCATAGAGATGTGCCAAGAAGCTCTCATAGAATTGCCACAAAATTTAAAAAATAATAATTAAATATAATTTTTGCCTGTTATTTGTATATATTTATATAAAATCCTATAGAGTTTTAACTTTTCGCTTCCTCAAGGCATCTTTAATAGGATTATTAGGTGTGCCAATAAAGATTGTTTGTGCCACTAGCTCAAAAGAGAAGAAAAAAACCTTATAAAAGATTAAAAAACTAAGCATATATTTTACACGTATAATAAAATTTAAAGATTACAAACGAATTTTTTTTTAAAAAAAAGAAAGCAAAATAAAATCATTTGAAGTACGCCGCAACTTAACCATTGCAAACATCAATTATTGGATCACAGTGAAATTAGATTTAACATTGTAGATAAATGTCGAATTTTCTAATATAACAAAGTACTGATTTAGTTACACTCAGATTTAGTGTTGCAATATAAGCGAGATTAAAATTTAAGATTCTGTTAAACTGATTTAATTAAATTTCCTCCTTTCAAATTCTTAACAATTTTAAATTCTATCTTAATGATGAGAAAACGTTTAAAAAAATAAATTCTTTTTCTCTTGTTACCTTCTTCCTTTTTTCTTTATTTTCTTCCTAAAATTGAAATGAATAAAAATAATTATCGTGAATGTTATTTTTAGTGACACTAAAATATCTTCCAATGTTACTTTAAGCATCGTTACATTAAGAGAAAATATATTTTTCGTACAGTGAAATTTGATACTCGACATTTTCATGATAATCTAAACTTCTAACATTAAAAAATTGTGAATTTCGTATTAAAAATAAATGAAAAAAATAATAATAATTCTGTTTCCATAACACAGCGATTCGTCTTCGTAAACATTATAATAAATTGTTATAATAGCTTAACGTTGTATAGTAACAAAAGTTTAAATCGATCGTTTAATATTTTAAAATTTATTCATGGTAAATTACTTGGCATGATTCCCATAG